TTTTACACAATTCAAACAATTGTCATTTTGAAAATACACATTGTGAGTGTGTGCAAGATAGAACAAACTATGTTAAACATATGTGCACACACACACCCATAAATCATTTTATATTTGTTTCTCAGACAATGTCAGATTAATTGAAACCATAGAGGATGCTTTTTCCTTCTGTCCTATGGTTGTCTAAATGAAGGAGAAATAAATACTATTGTAGATTATTTCCTTCCACTTATGGAAGATCACGACCTATTCGGGGCTATCTCTACCTCCAGCACATCTTTTTAAATTAATTACCTTCTGTTTAGTATCCTTGATATCTTGTCTCTATTGAGCTTTTACCACTCTGCATAGAAACACTCTTCAGTCTCCCAACTTAAAATGAAAAATTTATTTCATCATGTTCTCGTTTATTTGCTTTACGATCCTTCTCCCCAACGTTACTACTAACCTTCCCAAAGAAGACAGTGTGCTTCTCCTCTTTTTCTTCCCCTATTCATGTTTCCCATTCTTTGTCCACCACACCATTTGTTCTTCTCTACATTGGAGCAAAAACTAACATTCCTTTTAATCTGAATGTATAACATGGGTAACCGTTCAGATGCTGAAGACAGACTGACCACGTTCACTTTGCTGTCAGCTCTCTACCTGGGCGCCATTTTTTGTCTCTCCATGATTTAGTTTCTTTAGCTCTACGATGGTGATAATAGCACTCCATACCTCAAATGCCATGACAAGATTTAAAATAACAGTAATGGTTATGGTAACTCAATAAACACTTTGGAAAAGTGCTTAAAGTCTGTCCTGACACAGGGGTAATATTCAACAAATATTGCTCACTGTTACTATAACTGTGATAATAACGGTGATGATGAAGAAATGAAACCTGTTAGTGGCAATCACCCAGTAATTATTGTCCTTCCTTTCTTGAAATCCAATTAATATTTATAATCCAAAATTGTTTTTTAATTTCTAGAACACTTCATGTTTTTGAAGACTACCTTCCTCTTGTACATCATCTCTTGGGAATTTTCAATGGCAAAATTCTCTTGCATTTTTCCAAAATTTCCTCCAAGGGTATATTTATTTCCCTCCTTCCATTTGTTTCTTAAATATTGACATTCTCTAGGGTTCAGGATTTTTCATTCAGAAAAAATTAATTCAGGCCAGGTTCAGTGGTTCCTGCCTGTATTCCTAGCACTTTGGGAGGCTGAGGTGGGAGGATCGCTTGAGGCCAGGAGT